GTTTACATCAAGACATTAGAAATCAAACAACTTATTTTTTTTCTTAAAAAATAAAAGGAACGAAAGGAAATGAAAAATAAAACCCAACACTATATACATCTTCTCTTCCCCAGTCTCTGCTCCCTTCCCTCCCACCTTCCCACCCTCCCTCCCTCCCTCCCAGCATCTGCGTTAGGTCCTGCTTCCAACACATTGGTTTCACATCTCTCACCCAAACCGTGCCCCATCCCAACTTTCACATCTACTGTAAAGACATCCTGCCCTGCTTGGGAAGCCCAGTCTCCTCTCCCAGAAAGCATTTGGTAACCAGCAGGACGTTTCTTGCCTGGGTGTCCCTGGTGTGACACCAGGCAGGGCTCAGCCGTGCCCCAGCCTGGCACAGCGCTCACTCCCCTGCACATCTCAGCCCAGCTCCTGCAACTTTGTCTGGATGCAACTGATTGTCCCTGCCCCCAGGGACTGAGCTCTGCTGATGGCCACACACCCTGAGTCTCCCTCTTTTCCCTGTTCCTGACTTCCCTGTCCCCCAGAGAGGACAGGCTCTGCCCACCAGGGACCGCTGCCATGGCTGGGCTTCCTGGAGTGCTGCCTGCAGCTGTACCCAGCCTGTCTGACTCAGGGATGCCCCCAGTGCTCCAGTCCCTGCAAACCTGTTGTATTGCACATATATCTTCAAAAGCTCTCTCCTATTTGCTCTGCTTCTGAAGTTACAGATCTCTCCCACCAAGCACCTTTTCCTCAACCCATCCTCTCCATCAGGATTCCAGTAACCACCTTCCCTAAAGCCACTGTCCTTTGGTCTGCAGCTCCAGAGGCTTCTCTTCTGTCTGAAAACAGCTCAGAGATTTAAACCCCTTCCTCCTCCCCACAACAAAGAGAACAAAACCAGCTCCCTTCCCCACCCCGTATCTCCTCCTGCCAGACCCTCTGGAGCAGACCTGGTCAAACAGGCTGGCCAGATCAGTTCCCTTCCTGGCTCAGTTTCTGGGAAGTGGATGTGCTGTCCATTGGACAGAGGAAGTGCCAAGCCTTGGCAGGTTCCCTACTTATTTGCAAGACATAAGCTGCTGGCGTGGTGTCAGATGTGCATGCAAGAAAGTTGGATGCCATTTAGAACCTACAGTCCTGTTTGTTTCATGCACTGTCAAACTTATCCTATATACACTAGTGGCTGGTTTATGCTTGAAGCCATGAATATAAAGGTTTACATCTTCCTTTCACCTTAGTAACCAAAGCTTTTCTGTCACCCATGGAATAGCAGGGGTTTGCTAGCAGGGCTTGTTTCCCTCTTCTGCACTTCCTCTCATTGTCTTTTCATCTCTCAACACTCAAGGCAAAGCGGGGATAGGAAGGAGACAGGCAGAGTTACAGTCCCAAGGTCCCAGCCACTAAAGGTCCCTGAGTGACAGCACTATACAGTATCAGAAAATGAAGCAATAGAGTTGTGTTGGCCATGTATGTCCTGAGAGAGATTTCATTTCTATTTCTGCTCCTCCTTCTCCTTTTCCACATGCCTTCCCTAGGCTGTTACACATGGAAAAGGTGCAAAACATTCTCCCCCAGCCCAACGCCCTCAGGCAGCCTGGAACACCCCTCATGTTCAAATGCTAAAAAGCACAACCCAGCAAGCAGCAGTCCTGCCCCAAGCTACCAACAAACCAAGCCCTGAGCATTGCCTTCTGCACCACTGCAGCGCAAGCCAGAGCAGCTCCACTTTGGAAAAGCACTCACAAACCCTCTTGTCGCCCTTTCCCCTCTGTGAAGAAGAGGAGGGCAACAGTGGGCACACCAGATGCAGCATGGAAATCCCCTCCACCTTTCTGGTAACACTCATGCTTGTGATGGCTTGAAACCTCTGAGCCTTGAGTATCAGTAAAATGCCTTGTTTTTCCTTCTCTGTGTCCTTTTGGGTGGCTGGACCTCAAAACAAGAGAGAGGTTTGTTGCCTTCCTTAGGGGTGGAGGCAGGCAGCTGTGGAGGGGGGACACAGAGGTGCCACCTCACTTTGTGAGCAGAGCATTCCTAAAGGCCTTCAGCATCCTTCCCTCCCATTTCCTATTCCTCATCCCACTCCCAGGACTCTCTGTTGTTCTCCAGCACTCTGCCCCATCACCAGCAAGTGTAAGGCAGCTCCGGAACTGTGACCAGTCCTGACCACACACTCTTTGGCAAAGATCATTGTCCTGGACCCAAAAGTCCAGGAGTTGGGATGTACTGACTCTGTGAGTAACACTGACCTGGTAATACCAAGTTAGAAACATTCAAAGAGAGAAACTAGGATGACTCCTGATAAGAAAGAGAGCCCAGCCAACAGAGAACTGAGGCCACAGCACAGGAGTCTGGCTTCCAGCAGGAGAAGAAATCTGCTAAGCAGAGCTTTTTTTCCCTGGAAAGCTTTTGGATTGTCACTGGGCTCAACCCTGGATTGAAGCCTCAGATATTGAACACAGCCTCCCTGTGCCTGATCTCCATTTTCTGGAGGCTGTACCTGCAGGGCACTGGTTGCTCAGGACCCCACCCCGTGTGGGGCTCAGCTCCTGAGAAACAGAGAGCATCCCTGGGGTTTGCACCATCTGTGTGCTGCTGGCCCTGCCAGCCTTTGGGGCCAGCTCAGACAGCTCTCAGGTGCCTAACTCGTGCCACACATTTGTCAGGCTTTTACTACAACTGTCGGGTTCCTGGAGTTCCTGAGTCATCCTCCTCAGCTTCAGAATTTCTTACCCCACAGCCATTTGTTTTCCCTCCAATCCTAACAGGCTTTTTATAACTGCCTCTTTTTCTCCCCAGTTTTATCCTTCTGACCACCCTTTACATTGCAATCACATATATAAAGGGTAAATTTTTATATATTTTATTGACTCATCAATCACCTGGTTAGGCTCCCCTTGCAAACTGGACCTGCTGATAGGCAGTCTCCATGTGGGAGCTGCAGCCATGCCATGCTGATACCCACTGACATTCTACTGCTGCTGTCATAAAGCACAACTTTATGACTTCCGTTAAAGCATTTAAAAGATATTTTTGAATACAATCACACTAGGAAGTGTAACTTTCTCCACTGGCCAAGCTTTAAATTCCTGCAGATCAGGTAGACAGAACTACCTGATCCTCCAGACTCTACTCCTATACAGACCCATACACACCATGAACTGCAGCTTTTTGGGGAAAACCCATCCCCAACAGCACTGCTCATGGATGGGGAAACCAGCAGGAGACTGTTCTGCAGGGCAGGGGAGAATCTGATTGAACAATTGTGCTAAAACCTTGGTGAGTCCAGGGAGGCCTGGCCCAAACATGTGCATGCATGAACATGAGAAAGGGGGACAGACACATGGGGAAGGGGGGATGCTCTACTCCTATGCTTCAGATTCTGCATAAGACACGTTACTGATATAAAAATAACAATAATTACTCTGATGAGGCCTGATCCTGCTTCAGCCAAGTCCAGGCAAAACTTTCCCTGACTTCAGTGTTACTGGGTCAGGCCTGAAGTGATTCACATTTTCATAGTACTGTACAGACATAAATTAGTGAATGAAAGATGTGCATCAGGGTCATCTGAAAAACAGGAGTTTCCCTGGTCTCAGAGGATCACTCTGCTCTCCTAAGCAATGGGAATCAAGGAAAAGGAAAGAGAATGCTAGCAGGAAAATAAAAGGATGGTTGGCTAAAGGGCAATGTGGGTGTCCGTGGGTCTGACACGAAAAAACTCTATCAGGTAAGAACAAGGTTCTTATCATTACTCCAGGAATGGCAGAATGACCCTAGGGTTAACATTTTGCACTTGTGAATTTAACATTTTCATGGCTTTTATTAATATTATAAGGGAGATTATCAATCATCAGCGATTGCCAAAGTGGCCAATAATTCAGTGATTTTCCTGAAAGTCACTGGCTCCTTTGGAAAAGTCTGACCTTGCTGTCCAAGGCCAAGTTCCCTTCCTGTGCCTTCCTCAGGAATGCCTGTGGCTGGAAGCTGATGGAGACTCAGGGGCTTCCACAAGCACCAAGCTCAGCATTTTCACTGCAACCTTCCCCCTGCCCAGCTTTTGGAGACCATCATTTTCCAGCAGGATGATGCTCCATGGAACTCCACCTCATCCTCAGCTTCATCATCTGAAGGAAGGGCACAGGGTGATTTTTTCTACACTCTCTACACCTTAACAGACATAAAGTGAAGCCTGGTAGAAGCAGCACAGATCAGAGGCTGCCAGCCCACCATTCGCTCCTGAATTTCTTAGGAAAGGGGATCATTATAATTTCCCTATTTTTTTCATCCTGCAACATAATGAAGTTAAATGATATCCAGCCTTTCCTGTGCCTTGATGCATGCTATGGTCACTCAGAAGGCTGGAGTGTGGATCCATTGTCTGGCATAAGGAACAGGGAGAGGGGGAAAGGGTTGAATTTTTAGAGTCTTTCAATTGCTTTTCTCTCCAGGCTCAGTAAGGAAGATGCAGGGTGGGGATAATTAGGAACAACCCCTCCTCTGAGGACTGAATCAGCTTAGTCTCCTCGAGATCAGATGCCAGCAGTGACCAGCAGCACTGCCCTATTGCTGATCCCCAAATCCCTCTCTTCCCTCAGCAAGTGCCAATTTGCACACCCTGCCTCCCCAGCTCTGCCTCTGGATCTGGGACCACGACCTCCAACCTGGTGAAGCTGCAATGAGCAAACAAACCCCTGCTATTCCCCCCACGACAAACACACTGCCAGTTAAATGTCATCTGTGTTCTCTTTCTACAAAAGATATTACAAAACCCCCCTCCCCAGCCCCCCTCCCCAGAAAACATGCTTGCACACACACATCCATGAACACACGTGCCCACACACACACACACACACACACAGATGCTCCACACACGCACATTCACACAGGAAAAACAGCTTGCAAACTCCTGAAGGTGGAAAAAGGCATCTTGCAAATGTGCCTTGGTTTTGATAAGTTCCCTCCTCCCCCCTCCCATAAACCCCACATTGCCCCTTCCCTCCCAAATAATTGCCTCGTCTTCCCCTCCCTTCCCTTCCCAGCTCTTCCAAAATAAATATTCTTTTTATTTGTTGGTTTAAAAGACTCTTTTAGGCTTGTAAGCAAGAGAGAGGGAGAGAGAGAAAAAGAAAAGAAAAATCTCATAGCGTGAGAATGAAACCCCATCATCTCATGAATCTATGAAAGAATAAAGATGAAGGGGTTAAAAGCAGTGACAGAAGAAAGATTAAAAAATATATAATAAGACTGAAAAGTGAAAGATGAAATTCAGTAGTGAAATGGAAGTGAGGATAGAGCATTAGTGAACACAGCCAAAGATAACCTATCGCCCCCACCAGTTTTTTACTCAATTTCTTTAAATCTCCCCCCTCTTTTTTTTTTTAACTTTTCTTGGTTTTGGGGTTTTTTTTGTGTGTTTTTTTCTTTTTTTTCTGTCTTTTTTTCTTTTTTCTTTCTTTCTTTTTTTTTGGTTTTTTGTTGTTTTTGTTGGTTTTTTTTGTTTTGTTTTGGTTTTTTTTACAATGGTGTAAGTCCTTCAGCAGGAAACCAAAATCAAGACAAACACATACCTCCCTGAAACCAAACCCCCTCCCATACCTTTCTCTCCCTTTACCCCACCCCACACTCCGTGGTTCTACATGTGCTGAAAAGAGAAGAGTAAGCTTAGAATAAATCTAATGAACCATAGGAATAAATGACAATGATAGTAAAGAGTAAAACCCAAACCCAAAAGACCACAACACTCCTGTGTTGTCATTGTCTGAGTGTCTGTCCCTATTATCTCTCTCGGAGGCCGCAGGCATCAATTTACATAGTACAACCAGTAAACAAGGTTGAAGAATCCAAAAGTGATTGGAAAAATGATCCGTGACCACTTGTCAATGGTGCTGACGTCTGTCAGGTCTGGGATTTTGAGCTTCAGCTTGGACGACCGCCGGCGCAGGCGGCAGTTGGCGCGGTTGCGGGCGGCGGCGTGGTGGGTCAGCGGGACGTGGCGGTCCAGGGTCGGGTGGTGGCCAAAGCCATCCCGAGAGGCCAGCGGCTTGCGGAACTGGATTCCTGAGCCTTCGAAGGACATGACAGAGTTTCGAGAGTCGCCCACGCTGCTCATCATGTCCGTGGCCAGCAGCTCGTTGTTCATGTCCAGCGTGCTGAGGAGGATGTTACCGTAAGGGTCAACCTGGAGCGGGGGACACAGACACAGAAGTACTGGGTTGTGGCATTCACATTCTCTTAAAAAGTCTCTTCGCCCAGGATTTTATTCCTGGGAAGATGAGAAGCCTCAGAGAAAAGGAAACCAATTCTTATCTCATTTGCTTCTCCTGTGTTTTGCTCCTTTGGAATGTGTTTGGAGATTGTTTACCCACAGGTGATTGTTTCACTGGATTCTGGTGTGAGTTGTTTTGACTCTTTGGCCAATCAGGGCCAAGCTGTGTCGAGACTCTGGAAAGAGTCACGAGTTTTTATTATTATCTTTTAATATAAGTATCCTTTCTGTATTCTTTAGTACAGTATCCTTTAATATAATATAGTATTATAAAGTAATAAATTAGCCTTCTGAGAACATGGAGTCACATTCATCATTCCTGGCTTCGTCAGGACATTTCCCAGAAAATACAATACTGGGTGTCCTGTGTAACATTAGGGGTGATTCTGAACAGATTTCTGGGGAGCAATACTGTTGGAAATTATATAACTTATACAAAATTAACTTTAGTCATGGGTTGGTTCACCATTGCCAAAGGGGGGAGGAAATTGAGGTTTCTCTTCAAAAGATTACGTTCATCGAGGTTTGAGTCTCACTGGGTGAGGCCTCAATCAACAAAAAGAAGATTCCTAGATTCTGAGAGCTTAATATCTACAGGGTGGAAGTAGTCAGAAGACACACAGGAGATAGAGAGACATTAACAGATATTAAAGCCCTGGCAGGTTGCCAGTCTGGGACAAGATTAATAAGATAGCCAAAGAATGAGGACCAAAAATAGCATTGAAAGAATCAATAGCCAATAGGAGATCAAATACTAAGAATTGTGCAATGCAGAACCAAAGAATGAGAATTTCTTTGGGTTTTTTTAACATATAAATATGTGAAAAATCTGGTAAAGAATCACATGTGGTTGGAATGATTTCCACTGCACATCCTGGCCAGAATAAACTAATGCATTTAAAATTTAAAAAATGGTGTTGGGGAGTTCCTTTTCTTCCCCAGAGTTTGGTGACTGTACCCCTGATGGGGTCATTTGTGAGCTCTGAACATGCTGCATTTGAGGGTTGTCCTCTGCTGCTGGGGTAGAAGGAGCAGCCACCTGTGCTTGCAGCAAAGCTTTTAGTGGGGAAAGTGTGGTTCTGCCAACACAGGAGGACAAAAAGCCACAGAGGGACTTTTGGCTACACCTGCCCCACACAAGAGGAGGGTTCTGATGCGACTGGGTGAGGATGATCAAGGCAGAAAAATTCCCAGTAATCACCAGACAGGGAAAATTGGAATTCATCTCTTGTGATGAGCACAAAGGCTGCTCTGCAGCTCACCCAGTGGAGAGCCTGAATTCTCCTGCCACAACGAAAGGAGAGGACAAACCTGCTCTCTCACCCTCTTCTCCTCGTAGCGGTGGCGCTCGTTGTTGGCCTTGCTGACGCGCTCGCTCTGCTTCTTCTGCTGCCGCGGCCCTCGCCCGAAGAATATGTAGTTGACAAAAGCATATTCCAGCAGGGCCAGGAACACGAAGACGAAGCAGCCCATGAGATAAACATCAATAGCCTTGACGTAGGGGATCTTGGGGAGAGTCTCCCGCAGGTGGGTGTTGATGGTTGTCATGGTAAGCACCGTGGTGACCCCTGTGAGGAGAGTGCTCTGTTACCCACGTGGGATGGTTTCCTGGAATGCTGTCCTCTGCTCCCACATCCCTCCTTCCAGCTGGGCAGCCTCAGGAGGGGTGGGAGCAGTGCAGCTGGGAAGGAAGCTGTCGTTATTCCAAGCCCACATGCCCACTACAAATTGCTGCAGAAATTGATCCAGCAGCAAACAGCTGGAGAAAGTGTCAAAGCTGAGCATCATCAGCATCCCTGTTTCTTTAAGTCCCCCTGTTCTTCCCTCTTTCAGTGGTAGGAAACATTCAGTGTTGCTCTTTTTTACCCTCTTTTCCTTCTTTTTCTCCTTCATGAACTCATCAGGCTTCACTGTGGGCTACTGAATGCCTCAGCATCCTTGGCATCGTGAGTTTATAAAACTGCTGTGTCTTTCCAATGAATTTGAGAAAAAGTGAAGAGATTTCCTTCTCATAGCGCTCTCTTTTTTTTGCCTGTCAAGGCTTCTGTCCTTGACCCCATCAGTTCCCACCTTCCTCTCACCAGCTTTACCATTCATTACATCAATTATCGCTTGTACACATTCCTCCCATGTTCTCACACTCTCCTTTTTAGGCCTCCTCACATTTCTTACATCTTAAATGAGCATTTTGTGAACACTTTTGTCCCCATCTACTCAGTTCCGAAAGCCTGATTCACTATGATTACTCTCACATCTTCAGTCCTCTTCTTCAGCTTCTTCTCAGACTCCTCCCTTCTCTGGACTGTGCCTCAGACCTGCCTCTTTGACAGCCTTCTGCCAGCTCCAAAAACATGGCAACGAGCCTTCACACTTCTTTTTTGGGGTGGTAACTCTTCCCCTTCAACCCAGTCTTCCTCTGCTTCTCTAGCTGTTCTTACTACCTTGCTGATCTTATTTTCTCCTTTTTCCCTCCTCATCTCTCTGTTGGCAGCTCTAATAATCTCCATGACCTTAATTTGCTCCTGTGGTTTCAGCCCCACCACTACAGTGATGGCTCTCTGTGCACCCTGGACCTCTGCTTGCCCTGCTTCCCCTTCACCCTCGCCGTGCTTTGGTGTCATTCCTGATAAAAGACTGAGAACTATTAGCCTTCAGTTGGGTAAACAGAAGGGAGATATATTTGTATACACACAATATGGGCTATATTTAGGCAGTAGTCTAAATATACAGGAATCTGAGGCAAGGAAAGGGAGAATAGAATGTTCTCCATGTCTCCATTAAGAAGTGGACGAATTGCAATGGAGACTTAGGGCAAAGAGGAGCTCTTTGACTGTGCAATCAGGTAAATCTGGAGACAAAGTGACCAGAAGAGGCTGGGGAGTTTCTTTTTTTGGAGCTTTTTATGGATAAGTTAGGTCAAGAACTGTCAGGAATAGTTTAGGGAGAGCTGTTGCAGTTCTGATCTACAATGTTCTTTTTCTGTCTTCTCTTTGAGTCCAGATGTCAGCAGAAACTCAACAGCTGTGCATCTCACCTCCACCTTCTTGCTTATGCTTCCACAATGTCTGCCATGGTCTCTTTTTCTTGTCTCTCTGATTACACTCCTGCCAATGCAACTTACCCTTTTAATTTACCAATTTCTTCTTCTTCCCTCCCTGCTCCAGCATCTCCAAGCAGGAAAAGCCAAATCACCTCTTTTATACGTTTGTACAACCCACCCCTCCTCCGAGCCTTCCCAAACTCATTCTCCTAGAGCTGCTTGAAGCCCCCAAGCTTTGCTGTAAGACCCAGCCTGTACCTGAGCTGCACTGCCTCTCTGAGCCTTGTCCCACTCACAGATCCATCCTGCTTCTCCTGACCTCTCCTACTGCCCTGGAACTTCCCTCATGTTGCACAGCCCCATTCTCTTATGCCAGCCATCCCCCCTTCTTCTGTTCCTCCTTCCAAACCCTCATCTGCCATCCACCCCCACTTCCCTTCTGGTGCTTAAAAGACCTCATTTTCCCCCCTCTTATAGGAAAACATTCCTATTTAGGGGAGCATGTGCCAAAGAAGGACTTGGACTTCAACTGCTGTCCCACATTTGCCTTGGCCATGAAGGTCTTTGTCTGCAGAGGCCTGAGCTATCAGAAAAACGTGCAATGCCCCTTCCTTTATTTCTTTCATCTTTTAACCATTCCCATACAACTTTTTGGCCATCCAGCCTCAGCATTAATCACACAACTGGCCACTCCTGGTACACCTGTGGACAAAGAGGGGCCAGATTTCTCTTCCTAAGAAAACCAGTGCAAACCAGAGTGAAGGAACTCAGGGCATGTCAGGGTCCCACATTCCTGAGAATCAGTGACCATCTGCATTTTTGTTTAGAGAGTTTAAACACACACCCAGGACATTTTTGGTAGGACTTTTACGGATTCAATTAAACAGACTCCAGTTAGGGAAGTACTAATAAACAAAACCAAAACAAAATAAGTAATTCTTCTGACTGAAAATGTAAAGTTTTTTTCAGAAAAAAAATTTTTGTCCATTTGGGGTGACAATTTTGACAGACTTGCTTAATTGCTACCTCAGAAAAAAAAGTATTTTCTTAGTTATTGCTGATCTCCCTCAAGAAAACCCCTCCAAAATACAATAAAAATGTCCATACCCAGTGCCACTCGTGCAGCAGAAGCATCGTAGTTGATCCAGAAGGAGACCCAGGACAGGATGGTGATGAGGATGGATGGCATGTAGGTCTGCAGGATGAAGTAACCAATGTTCCTCTTAATCCTGAAACTCAGGGATAAGCGCAGATACGAACCTGCCAGTGAGACATCAAAGGAGGATGTGCTGTGAGAGCAGGGCAAGGCTGGATTTGTGCTAAGAGCTTAGGTTAGGAACTGAAATTTTATTTGGAAAAAGTTCTCAAGAGGCAGGAACAATGAGAAATCTCCTGTTTTCTGCAGCTGGTTTTGCAGACTGGTCAGTTTTTGCAAGGAGTCCCTTCAGAATTTGATCAGTTTCCCCAGAGTACTAAGAACAAAAGAAATTCTGCATAAGTGACATTATTATATCAGCCATCATGGGAGAACGGCTGTTCAGTGCTGGAATTGCTGTTATGGTGCCAGTCAATATGATGGAGGCTTACACAGGAGATTTTAACCCTATATTTGGGTGCCACGAGATGATTTTCCAGTGTTTCGTGTGCCAGCTCTGCCTCCAAGCAGCAATGAAGATCTGAATCATATTTTTCCCATGCTGTTCTAAAAATGGGTTATGGCCAGACTGGGCAAATTCATATGCAAATAGAGTACTGTTAGTTAATCTGAAGGTCTCTTTTTTATTATTTTCAAGTTGTTGCAACTTCCTACTAATCTTTTAGCAAACCTAATGAGGATAGTAAGGACAATAAGTACTTTTTACAGTCCTTCCACTGGAGCAGGCTAATTTTGACAGGGACAAAGCCGTGCCTCTTTCATTGCTGTGAGACAAAGTCCAAATCATTTCTCCTGCCCACCTCTGTCCCTCAGGCAACACAGGAGCCTGAAATATGGGTGTAATCCTGGCTGGCAGCTAAAGTAACAAGAAAACAGCAGTTTTAAACCATCAAGGATATAGACTGGGAAAAAGGAGGTATTGTTCTCTCACCACCATGTGCCACTTGTATGACTTGAACACAATATTTCACCAGTCTTTTTTTTTGACAGGTGTGTGCTGTGCTGTTTTGGCAGTGAACTCCACCTCAGACCAGCAACCAAAATCCAACCCCCTCCAACTTTCCAGCTGGCAGCATCTGAATCGTCCCAGGTATTCTCTCCAAACCTTTTTATTGCCATGTACAGATGGGTTTGCATCATTTCATAGCCCACTTGCTTCTCAATGGACATATTTTCTCCTTACTATTGCACCTACATTAGCTTTGAGACCCAGATGTAAACCACATAAAATATCTGATGATGGCTGAGAACCTTCTGAAGAGGTTCTGAGCTCACTCATTATTTTGACTAAGAAATGGGAAAAATTGCAGTGGGGAAAATGATCCTGAAAGTCTTTGAAGAGAAGCAGACATAAAAAAAAAAAAAAAAAAAAAAAAAAAAAAAAAAGAAGAAAGGAACCAGAAAAGAAAAAGAAATAAAAAATAAGAGAAAAAAGCAAAACTGGTGGGTACAGAAGACGCTTTTTTGTAGAGGAACCCCAAGATGAAGCCTAGATCCTGAGTTAGTGCCCCAGCATCTGAATCAGAGGGACTCAGACCAACTGATCAGCAGCAGGTTTGCCCATTCCATGCATCCCTTCAGAGACTCACCAGTGGTGAAGACCACTTCCCTGCTGACCAGCCTCTGCTCGATGATGGTGAACTGGGGCAGCTCCAGCACCTCCATGCCCGTGACAGCAGAGTCATTCCCTTGCCAGAAGAAGACAATGTCATCCACTGTGTAACCATCTGCAGGGAGGAAGGAGCACACAGGGAGAGCTGAGCTGACAGGCTGGGCCAGGGGAAAATTCCATTTGCACCATTTGATCTGGAAAAGGATCCAAAAGAAAGCCCACACCAAGCCTAGCCTCTCCCTGCTGATGTACTTTACTTCTTCAGCTGAGCTTGGCAATACAGTCCCCAGGAGAAGAAAAACTGGCCAGGGCTCCCACTTCTGGCTAGAACTCAGAGCAAAGCTGAGGCATCCAGCCTCGACTTGCACAATGTGATCTCCATGGCTGACATGACAGGGACTTGTGCACCAGGAGCCTCTGTCAAATGCACCAAACACAGCATTTCGCTTTTTAAATACTGCCTCCTTCTACCAGGAGGGGGAGACCACACAGTACAGACTGGTGGGACGGGGTAAGCAGGGCAGCTCGGTATTAAAAATTCCCAGAGAGGAGAAGATCTACAGCAGCAGTTGAAAAGAAGTTTGAAGATCAGAGCACCTCCCTTTTCTAAGTGCTCTCAGTCAAAATTCAGATCCAAGAAGTGAACAGAGTCTCTGAGGCTGGGGGCTGTTTTACCAAGCTGGCTGAGAAGAGCAGTAATGAGAGAAGAGAGGAAGGGGAGCCAGCCTCAAATATTTATCCCTTACATTTCAGGGCCATGGGTTTGCTAACTCAGCCAAGCTTTTTGCTTTAACCCCAAAATATACATGGCAGGCAGGGCTGCATGGGCTGGAAATGTGGCCCCCAAGTGCTCTGGACTCGTGGGGAATGAGGGCCAGGGGGTGAAACCACGAAACCCTCATCCCCAGTGCCATATCCACAGCCCTGCCCTGTCCTTGGGGCAAGGATTCACCACAACTTGAAAATCAAATCACTGTATGTCTTGAGCTCCTTTGGCTGTAGCTGCACAAGGGTGGTCTCAGATTCTCAGTAAAGCCTCCTGGGAGCAGTAAGAAATGGCCAGGCTTTGGTGCAGCTCGGGGCAAGGCTGCTTTCAGAGCTGTGCCCACAGACAGCTCGTGTTCAGCACCTGCACTGCAGCACAGCAGCCTGCCTGCACAGGCCATGCCAGGCTCACAGCCACTCAGCAGAGTGCCACCACACCCAGCACTCTGGGCAACGCAATGAGGAGCTGTTGAATGCAGCACTGAGGAGAAATTCTTCTTTGGGGGCTGAGGGTTACCCCAGATCAGAGGTGAGCCTTTGAGGACAGTGTGATGCCGAAGCTGCTGAGTGGATAAAGGGCTCAGCAGTCTGCTCTGATCTCACAGCTGACCCTGCTTTGAGCTGCAGGCTGGACTAGAGACACCCCGAGGTGTCCTCCCAAATGGAATTATTTGATGAGTGTGCAGTCTCCAAGCCCACTCTCACTCATTACTGCGCTTATTCATGGGTGCCAAAATACAAACCCAATCTTCCAAATATCATGCCACATCTGCTTCTGATGGAAATCAGCTAAGCCAGGGCTCCTCCTCCTCCCCCAGCTGGCATGTTTCTGCTCCCAGAATGGAAAACCCTCACACCTTTGAGCCCCCAGGGTTTCAGGACCCTTGGTTATCCTGCTCACACTCCAGCTCTGTGCACAGCACCTGTGTTTGCATCGCTCACCCCAGGCTGGAGCCAGCAGGAAACACCCAGGTCCCCTCCACTCCTGCTGATTCCAACCCCCTCCCAGCTCAGAAACACTGTGCACGATTTCACGTGGGAATTCATCTGGCTCAGACCCTCAGGTTCCTGTGGTTGTTCCCAATTTCTCCAGGAGGTTCCCAAGCCCTTTCCCCCCAGAGTTCCCCCTCTGCAGAGGTGAGCCCAGCCTGGAAACAATTCCCCTCTGCCCCTCTTTGCAGTAAACAAACCACACTGAGCTGTTGAGGTTTCTCACTCACTGCACAACATCTGCTCCAGCCCTTGAAACACTTTTCAGCATCTTCCCTCAACCTCTTCTGATTTCTCAGCTTCCTCCCTAAATTTTGGAACCCAAACACAGACAGGGCCCGTTTCCCCATCTCAGTGACACGTTCAGAGGCCGATCAATGCCGAGCTCTGACTCACGGCTCCCCAGGTTTATATTTATATAACAGGGCTCGCTCCAGCCCTGCCTGCCCGAGGCACAGAGCCTCCAGCCTGCCTCAGCCCCCCGTGTGGCTCCAGCCCTGGGCACGGCCCCGCAGCCCTGCACACGGGCCCAGAGCTCACAGAACTCGGCTGTGTTCAAAGCCCTTCCGGATGGATTCCGACTGGGAAGGATTCAAGTGCGCAGAGAGCGAAGCCCCGCACGCTGCTATCTTCATCATCCACAAATTTAACAGCAGTGACTTCAAATTTACTTCCTGATCAGCAATGAAAATGTCAAATTGCAGTAACTAATTTTAGGAGATCTCACAGTTAACTAGCTCTATTCCATTTATTCTGTGGCCTGCTGGTGTTGGGTACCAATTTTTGTATTTTAATTTTTTTATTATGGCATTATGCAATATGAAATCGGGCATGTTTTTCGTGAAGCCATTTTTAAAAAGTGTTTCTAAAGGGAAAGGTTGCTTGCTCTAAAAATAAATGCTTCACTTTGATTTCTAGCTTTAAAGAGAAAACCAAATTTCCATTTTACTTCTAAAAAGTAAACGAACTTTCACAAAGACAAGTCATTTCCATCTGAAATATCGAAAAGTATTGATGTGACGTCTTAAAATGTCAGATTAGCAGTCTGTTTGCAGCCTGCCTCATCAGGTTTTTGTTGGATCCTGGCACGCAGATAGGCAGGGTATACGTGTTTAGGGTTATTTTTGGGGTGGAGGGATGGGATCAACAGGCAGTGCTTATCTCCTACAGGTAAGAGCCCTGAGCTGCTTCCCAAACCCAGCACCCCTGCATCAGAAAAGGGCTTTTTCTCTGAGGTTTGGGTCGGTGGTTTTCTTTTAAATACATTGTTTTTATAATCCAGCCCTGAAAGGATTGATGTTCCAGAGTCAAGTGGAAGCAAAGAAAATGGAGCCTCACAGATTGCAAATGTGCAAGTGTGTAAAAGACAAAAGCTCTGAGGGAGGAAACAATGGGATCTCTTCATCTCGGCCTGGGTCTCAGGAATATTGTGAGGAAATGTAGCTTTGATGAACAAATTGGCTTGACATGACCCATTAGGAACAAAATCACAACATGGGGAACTGTGGGTAATTCCCTGCCTTCTGTTTGCTTGGTTCTACTGTAAACGGTTCCCAAACTGCTGAGGAGTGGCAGAAATGACATTGTGGCACTCGTGCCTGCAGCAGGACCTCATTTCCATCCCCTGACCCTGCATGGGTAGGATGGGCAGGGCAGCGCCCAGCCAAGGGGCTGTGGGAGCTCCCTGATGGAAGGAGCAGTTCCCAGATCCCTCTCTGATGGAAGGAGCAGCTCCCAGATCTGTCCCAGATGGAAGGAGCAGCTCCCAGACCCCTCCCTGATGGAAGGAGCAGCTCCCAGATCTGTCCCAGATGGAAGGAGCAGCTCCCAGATCCCTCTCTGATGGAAGGAGCAGCTCCCAGATCCCTCCCTGATGGAAGGAGCAGTTCCCAGATCTGTCCCAGATGGAAGGAGCAGCTCCCAGACCCCTCCCTGATGGAAGGAGCAGTTCCCAGACAATCCCCCCGAGGCTGCACTTGGAGCTGTGCTGCCCCTCAGCCCTGGAGGGAGCCTGCTGTGCATTTTTACCAGGGAGAGCTGCACCTCCTCTGCCAGCACAGCTGGAACAGGATTTCCATGGGCATCCAGGGAACACACAGGCAGGGATGAGGGCTTGGGTGCCACCTCCCACACGGAGTGAAGCCAGCCATGAGCAAGGACAGCTTCCCATGGCTTCCTTGAGGCTAGGGAGGCTTTCCCCACCCTCCTGGGACTGATTTTAAAGCCCAGCCTGCTGCCAGAGCCCTGTTCTCCCGGGAATTTCCCCCACGGGTGCTGTGGCAGCCCTGGCCGGGGCGGGTGGCATCAGGTGGCACGGCGTGGCAGGGGATGTGCCCGAGGCATACGCACAGCTCTCGATCTCCAGCGTGCAGTTCTGCTGGTCCAGCGGGTACCTCCGCAGGTCCATCATGCAGGCGGCCGTGGTGGTGATCCTGAAAGGAGAAGAGGGACAAAAATGAAATGAAATTTAAAAAAAAAAATCTGTTGTGTCTGCTTTTTTCTTACACAAAAAAAAAAAAAAAAAAAAAAGAATAAAAGGAGAAATGAAAGGCATAAGTGAAAGCCAGGCAGCATTTGGGGCCGCTGTTTCCCTGGAAACCAGGGAGATCCGGGGTGGGAGGTGTGCAGGGCGGGGGGCTGCTGCGGCTCACCCCCGGTGGCAGGGCACAACCCCTCCGAGACTCGCGTCAGCAAGGCAGCATCTCTGTTAACGGGGTGGGGAGGGGTCTGTGCCCGCTCTGCCTCTCCCTGGAGAGACAAAGAGCCCGGCAACAGGCACAGCTCCGGCTGGGGGGAGAGGGGAGCCTGCCAGCGTGGAACGGGGAGACAGCAGGAACGTGTCCGTGAGCCTGGGGATGGGTTGGTTCCATCACCCAGCAGTGACCCATTGCCGACCACATTATCACTCACAAGCTGCCCCCAGCCCCCGAATTACAGCCCCCCTTCCCTGTGCCCCTCCATCGTGCCCAGCTTGGCACTGCCAAACCCAAAACCCCAAACCCAGAGGGATCTGGCAGAGCCCTGCGCTCCACGGCCCCGCTAACGGAGCCACCCGTGCACAAATCACTGTGGCCATCAAAGACACCTGGGGGATGCTGCGGGTGTGTGTGCATCCCCCCAAAAATAAATACGGGGAGAGGATGAGGGTGGGTGCTGCTTTGGGGTGTTGGAGCACGGTGAGGACACAGAGCAGCACAGTGCCTGCGCTGAGGTTCAGCTGAGGATGCCAGCAGGGTCTGTGTGTGCTGTACAAGAAGGAATATTGTACGTCTCTGGGATGGGGGATTTTGGGGTGGCACCGATGAGGGCATGAGAGGCAGGGATGGAGTTAACTCCCCAGCATGGCAACAGCGCCCTGGAGTTAACAGGCTGCCCCTGTTCCTCAGATCTATTGCTCCCCTCACCCTTTGATGCAGTCTTCCCATGCGATGGATGTGTGCAGAGAGGGGGGAGAGATTGCTGCATTCTCCCCCTATTTTTTCAATTAACCATCTGGAAGGCATTAATCAAGCTACACATTTTTTACTATGTAGGCATAACCAGTGAACTGTTAACTAGAAAGCTTTATCTTCTGAGCCCTGTGGCCTGGGAGAGAGAAAAGAGAGGGGAAAAAAGAAAAACAAGAAAGCAGGGAGAATGAGATGGCGAACCAGTGAAAGAGAAGGGAAAAAAAAAAAAAAAGAAGAAAAAGCGAAAAACATCAATGGTAGAAAAAGAGACCAGAAAGGGGGAGAATATGGGTGAAGCTGGACATAAAATTGGAAATGGGGAGGAGGGGGGAAGAAGGGAGGGTAGGAGAAGGTGGAAGAGGGCTGCCCCAGTGGGGGTATCGGGGCAGGGGCTGTGGCAGGGCAGGCTGGCAGCCCCGCAGAGCTGCTGGCTCTTTAAGAAATCTCGTGTGCTAAATTTATCTTCTCTGCTGTCTGTGAAGTCTGTTTGTAGGAGATGAAGCCTTGAGGAGAGCCTTTGCCACTGCCTGCCGTGCTATAAATAGATCCGAAGAGACGAAGGGAATTTATATATATCCTCACTGGGTCTAGATACAACACTGCAACTGCCCTCTCTCCGAGCAGGGGGCCCGGGCGAGCTCTTAACCCTTTCATCTGTAATGCATTTGGGGTGGAGGAGAAAGCTCTGAGGGGGGAGAAGGACATCAGGACAGGAACCACTTAAAAAATTACCACCGCAGCCTTGCCCTTGCGTGGATTGCTTTCACAGCCTCCCAGCTGGGCAGCTTTAGAGGGAAGCTGGGAGCACAATGCCTGTCCCACCCTAATCCTGCTGCTGTGCTGGGGTAACTGGGCGTGGTGGTGGTGGGGGCAAACCAAAAGGGGAGCTGCAACCTTGGCAGGAAAGCCCAAGGTGGAGGCGCAGAGTCCACGGTGGCCGGGCGCAGGGACCAAGGAGTGGGATGAGTCATCCCCCTGTGCTGCACACAGCATCCACTCCCTGGATTATGCTGCACCCCTGGGAAATCGTGGCCACAAATGTGCTTCCCTGTTTTCCCTAAAGTGTGAGATGCAAAAAAATGTATTAAATGAAAATTTTCCACCCCATTTGTGGAGCCCCGCGGGCTAAAACCTTTGCACAGTGTCCATCCCAAAATCGCAGCCTGGCTGGCTGGCTTGGCTGCAGAAAGGACATGCAGGCTGCTCTGCTCACACAGGGACCCTCTCGCCAGGATTTGCTTATCACCTGCAGTGCTGGTTGGAAATGCAGAGCGTGACACAGTGAGAGATGGCTACCACACTCCATGCACCAAACCCTGCTCACGCTGGCAGCTGGGATAAATCCGCAGCCACGCCAATGATTTTTGCAAGATCACACCAATTTGTATCAGCAGAGATTTACATCAGGGCAGAATTTAGCCCTGTTGATTCAAAAGGAAGGGACAGGTAGGACAGAAAGGAGAAAAACAAGATTAAGAGGATATTTGTCCTCAAAAAGCCAGATAATTTCTTTCTTTGCAATTAAAGGACAGGTATATCCACACTGTGTGGCTCAGCATCCTCTAGAGATACCCCAGTTAGATGCAGATCCCATACTCTGGGCGATCTGCCCTTATAAAGCTGCTTGGGCAGGTAAAATTGGAGCCGTGTCAGGCTTTGCTGTGGTTTTTGAGCAGAGGTGGCACAGCCATCCACAGCTGTGCTAGGCTGCAGCCACCTGCTCGTCCCAGAGCATTTCACCTGCAGTGCCTGCCCAGCCTGGGGACACCAGCACCGCGGGACCACCGAGCGTGGGGGCCTGGGTGGAACAAGATTCAAGAGGCAGCAGGTCTGGGGCGCCAGGTCCAGCTCAGATCCTGCCTCTGGGCTTCCTAAACCCTGATAAACCAACCCAGCTTGGGGTAGAGCAAGTGGTGTGTCCCAGAGAGATGGAGGTGTTTGATTCTTTAGACTTCAGACCTTATGAAGTATCCTGGACATTCTATTCCCTTTGATAGACCCTGCCTGAAGAGTCAACTTTCACCTGCTCCCAGAGGGGCCAAGGAGAGCTTTCTCCAGCTCCTTTGGTGGCTGTGTACCCAGGGCAGGTGGGACTCATGGAGGGATGAGAGGCTTCATGCACACCTTGCAGTCAAAGGGGAGCATGAGTAAATCTCAGTCACCCCAGTGACCTTTTGGGGTCACAGCACATGCCACCTCTGGTCCAGAAGGCCACAGCACCAACCTTTGCCTCATTCTTTCATGGGTATACATGTATTACCTTGATACACTCCGAGCTGTTGTGTGAAGAGATGGGTGTGCTTGGCACGTGGGAGACTGCATGGGGAGGACAGGACAGGGGGGTGGAGGGGGGGTTGACACTTAGGAGCTCCTGTCTCAACAGGCTAAAGAGAAAATCAAGGTGGAAGGAAAGTAAGAGGTGGAAAAATGAGGAGAGATGATGGCATGAGCACAGCTAGCGAAGGCAGGAGTGGAGATGACACAGAGCACAGGACAGAGCAGCAGGGTAAGGGAAGAGAGGAGGATGATCAGGAGACACACGGGGTAAAGCAGCCTGGAGAGGAGGAGCCGGAGGAGAACGAGAGGTTAAAAGAGGGAAAGCAGAGGAGCGGATACTCGCTCAGTGAGCGGGAGATGAGGAGACAGGGAACAAACCATCATCCTGTAAACAGCTCTAGACTGAGCACGCTGCCTCCAGAAGACGTGAGCACAGTGAAAGGGAGCAGGGAGCGCGGGGACCAGAGGGAACGCCAGGGAAGGATGCCACCTTCCCCGTGGCGCTAGCATGAGGCGCTGGCGCCCGGCCAGCCCGCATCTTCTCCCTCCCCCTCCTCCTCTCCTGCTTCTCTACCCACCTCCCTCCCCTTTTAAATTCAGAAATTTGTGTGGTGTGAAATTTCATCTGCTTTGATGGCGATTCACGGAGACACTGCCCGTGGAGGGAGCGGCTCCCACGCCGCGCGCTCAGCGAAGCATCAGCGCCTTCCACACTGAGCCCGGCCACCACCACGGCACCCTCCAGCTCCCCTCCCCACCCTGCCCACCCCACAGGCCTCGGGGTCAGCCCCTCACAACCTTTAAAGCTCACAAAAAAAAAAAGCCATTTTTGTCCTTGCCCCTAATTGTTTCTCCTGAGGTCTGTAGGCAGTTGTGCCATCCGAGTAGCCAAGGCCTGACTGCCCTGCTACTCCAGTGCACAGCTGGCAGGCAAACACGGGTCATCTGGGGGGAGACTGCTGTGGAGAAAGCACTGTGCATCTCACCAAAAAAAATGAAAAGAAGAAAAAAGGAAAAAAGGGACATGGATGAGATGTTGAGCAGCTCAGGCAGGGTGATGGAGATCCCCTTCTCTGCCAGCATCAAGTGGATCAAGCAGAAGGCAAAGCAACACGGATACCTCACCCTGGAGAGTGCCCTCATCCCCAGGAGAGGTAGAGAGCACCTCTAGAAGAACATCCATGGAGCTCTAAGTCACACAGGACTAGTCTGGGTGTCCGATTGTTACAATGAGGAAAGCTCTGCCCTCTTGAAGCTCGTATGGCCAGAGCAGATGCTGGCATGGGGAGGGTGCTGCAACCTTGACTGCTGCTCTGCACCGAGCCTGGCAGCAGCAGAGCATGGCCCCACCACAGCTGCAGCTCAAAAGGGAGCGCTCAGGCTGCTGCAAACCATCAGTGCTCCACAAATATTTCAGTTCTCTGACATGAGCACCACCAGCCATTTCATTCCCCCTCTGATCCTCCTCATCACTGTTTATTTATTAATGGCTTCTTCTGTCTTATCTAGAATGATTATATAAGTGCACAGGCATAGAGCACCCTAGAGCTCCAAGCTGCCATTAAACCCTGCTGCAGTCCAGGGTCTCCTTTCCACCTCCTCCTTTACCCTGGTGCTGGGCACCTTCAGGGGAGCTGCCCATTCATCATCTCTTGCCCCAGCCACATCTCCCTCTGCTGCAGGCTCTGAAAACCCTTGGCCACCCA